GTCYGTCTCCATAATCGCGGGAGACAATCCCTTAGGTCTCATCTCCAACACGTGCAGCTGCCTCCTTATGACAAATCAGTGTGTGCACAGATGTCCCTACCTTATGACAGGCTTATGTCCCAATAAACCCTTGGAGACTGAAAATACCTCAAATCAAAATGAATCCCACTATTCTGTGTAATTATAATGCACCAATAAAAATAAACAAATGCATTTAACACACCTGACCTCCCAAACAGTGCGGCTTAGCCTCGTCTACCTCATGAGCGCTCTCAACACGTCCATTAGCCCACAGTTGGGAAAAGCCACCTGTCACAAAGCCTATTTTACAGGAAAGTGTGGAAATTCTCCTACACCCAGAGAAGGCTGTTTTATAGACATGATGGAATGCGACCCAGAACCCAACTCCTGCAACACAGGCAGCTCGTGCTCTAGGTACCGGCCGTTTCCGACGACGTGGGCTGGCTGGGAGCTGTGGCTCCTGCCCCCGCCGGGCCTCTCCAGAGGGTCCCACTGCAGGTTCTAGTCCAGGAGAAGGTCAGGGTCAAATCCAACGTCCGGTTTCTACTGAATGCATCTAGAGTCCAGAAACCTTGAGCAGAACCATCGTGAGTCAGGGCCAGCCCATCCATCCAGCCATCCATCGCCTAGGTGTCTGCTATAATTTGGATCTGGAACTGTCCCCTGAAAAGCTCCTGTGTTGGAAGCAGGGTCCCCAATGCAGGGGGGTGCAGAGCTGGGGCTTTTAGGTGCTGATGAGGGTTGTGCCCCAGGAGTGGATTAATCCATTTGATGGTTAGTGATACGAGTGGGATTAGCAATGTGAATGGGCTGCTGTAGGCAGGAGGGTGTGGCTGGAGGAGGGAGGGCATTCGGGGCCTTTGGGGGTCATATCTTGTCCCTGGCTCCGCCCCTCTCTGCTTCCTGGCTACCAGGAGCTGAGAGCCCTTTGAATGCGCCCCCAGTTTGCCGTGCTGTGTGCGTTCCCACAGCCTCGCCCTGCGACCCATTCAAAGCTATTCCCAGATAAAACTTGGCTGATTCTTTTCTCATTGGTGTTTCTCTCGGCCGCCTCTGAACCAGGGGGTGTCCGTCTGCTCTTTCCCATTTTATTAGCTGTGCCACTTGGGCCAGTTCCCTAACTTCTCTGAGTCCGCCATCTTGCTGTGTTGAAAGGGAGTGAACTGGGGGCGGTGCCTCGGCCGGTCCTGCAGCTGGAGAGCTGGAGGCTGGGAACTGAGAGCAGCAGTCCTGGGGGCGGGACGTCCAGGGTCAGGGCCTCGGCTGGTCTGGTGTCTGGGGAGGGCYRTGCTCTGCTTCATAGATGGCACCCCGTGCCGCGTCCTCACGTGGCAGAGGCGGGGGACAACCTCCCTGTCACCTCCTTTATAAGGGCACACGTTCCACTCATGAGGGTGGCACCTGGTGACCTGATGGCCTCCCRAGGCCCACCCCTTCATGCCATGGACGGCTGATTGGACTTCAGTGTGTGGTGACTGGAGGGACAACATGGCAGATGGGGGACAGTGCCTGGCACCTGTAGGACTTGAAGAGGCGGCGGAGGGCAGGTCTGGCAGCCCCACAGCCGCAGCCGGCTCGGCCCCTCCTCCAGGCCCACGGCTGAGGGGGCCCGGCCACCTCTGGTCCCGGCTCCTCCTGCCCCGCAAACCCACACCCTTCAGTGTGTCCCGGGGCGTCCATCTGCGACACACCTGGGGTCCTGCTGGCTCCTCTCTTATCAAAAGCCACTCAGGGACGGGTTGTGGCTCCTCAGCCCCCAGTCCCCGCCGTCCCTGCTCCCAGCCTTGGGCACCCAGACAGAAGCCGGTGGGTGACAAGGGGGCTCCTCTGAGCAATGAGAAAGGAGCTGTGTCCAGCTGCTGAGAAGCCAGGAGGGGCACAGAAGGYGATGACCAAGGTGTCGGCCATGCTGCGGGGACACTGGGGGGTGCTGGAGTCCAGTGCAGCCTACGGAGGAGCGTGCTGAGCAGGACGGCTCCCTGTGACGAGGCAGTGCAGGGGAGGGACACCAGGAGGCTGCAGTCTGCACTCAGTGACCTTGAGTGAGTCCCAAACACACAGGGCCTCTGCCTGGTGAAGGGTCCCAGCTCCCTGTGCGCCGCGGCGCCCAAGAGCCAGCAGGCCCAGGGACACGTCCTGCCCKCGGGCTCACAGGGTCTCTGGGAGGGTGCATGGGAATCATGTGTCACCCTGTTTCTTTCCACCAGCAGGAGTCGGTCGGGGGCTCTGACCCCGACCATGGGCCCTGACCCKGACTGTGGGCCCCTGTCGGGGTGGTTTTCCTGAGATGAATGCGACTGAGCCTTTGGGCCATCGGGGAGGACAGGTCCAGGCCCAGGGAGCAGCCTGGGGTGACAGAYTGTGAGGGCCCAGGAGGAGGCTGGGGGAGGGCTGGCAGCTGTCCCTGGGGCCAGGACGGCTGCACTTGGATTTGGGGTTCCTTGTGTGGACTGAGCAGCCGCCCAGGCGCCTCCAAGCAGGAGGACACTAGTGGAATCTAGATTTTGGGAAGAGCCCTTGGCCCCACGCGGGGAGCAGAATGAGAAGGGTCGGGGTGCCGGGAGACTGGCCAGCAGAGCCCCCTGCTGTGGAACACAGGGAGGAGCCGGGCCACCTCCACTCATGACGCTCCCAGGACACAAACTTGTCCAACCCGAGTTCCCGAAAGCGGAGGAGCAGGAGCAGGAGGAGGAGGAGGAGCAGAAGGTGCTGCTAGGAATGCGAGACCGAGACCGGGCCAGGTGGCTCCACAGAGTCACACTCCYGCCTGATTGGCCTGGACTCAGGTGGTGGCYGAGGATGAGAGGGATGGYCKGGAYCAGAGGAGGGGGAGGGGGAGGGCTTGGGAACCACGCTGCTTGTCCTGATGGCCACGTCCTGACCATACCACTGGGCTGTGCTCCCCTCTTGCCTCTCCCCTCACTGTCCCCAGCTGGGCACAGCTGCGGTGACGAGTCTGTGTTCTCTGCCAAGCCGCACAGTGAATTCCAGCTCTGCCCCTCCCCAGCTGCGCGTCCCCAGAGAGCCCTGGTTTTCTGGCCTGTGAAGGTGGCTCAGGACGCTGCCTGTCCACGGGGCTCAGTAAGAGGAGGACTGGGAGGCTGAGTGCACATGGGTGACCCTTTGGGACTCGCTGTGGTTTTAAGTCAGTTACCAGTTCTGGTCCCACGTCCCCTCCTGGCCTGGGCCTGCTTTCTCCGCCTGACCACTACTCTGGAAGGTGGCCCGTCCATGCCTGTCCCTCAGAACCCAGAGAAGGGGCTGGTGGCAGCCTGTGGTGGGAGAATGGCACCCTGTCAGTCCCTCCTCCAGTGGGACCTCCAGAGTAAACAGGGCAGGCCATCGTGGGAAGARCAGRGCCATCGTGGGAAGAGCAGGGCCATCGGCAGGACTGCCGTTTGCCCACCCGGGAGCCCGACTAATGATTTCCATAGGGACACCCCTCTTCCACTCTCAGGCCCTGAGCTCTCTGTGTGGCTGATCCCCTGGTCCAGTCAGTGTCCCTCTTCCGGGTCACTCTGACAGATTCAGGGAGACACAGAGGCCCCGAGGTGACTTCTTGGGCCGGGGTCCTGGTCCCACCAATGGCTCGCTGAGGGATCTTGGGGTAACACTGAAATTCCCCGTGCCTCGGGTTCTCGTCTACACCGGGGTAGTGATGGTCTACACTCCACCGGGCTGTTGTGCAGACGGGATCCCGAGAGGGGCTCGGCACAGGTGAGTCCCAAGGAGCATGAGCCCCYGCTCTAATGGGACTGAATTTGGGGCCTCCAGATGGGTGACTGGGGAGAGGGGGGCTTTTTTTAGCGGCCCTGCTGCACCCGGGCCTTGAGTGGACGGGGTCACCTTGCGTCCTGGGGAGCCTCCTGCCGGAGTCTCTGGGTCCTGTCATTCCTGAAGCTGAATTTCCTTTTCCTTTTCTTATTTTTTGGTTTAAGTGCCTGTGAGTTGGGTTTTTGTTACTCGGAACAAAAGGAGTTTCATGGGACCCTGTTAGGGCGGGGTCTGGAATGTTCCAGAAGGGCTCCTGTGTGGAAGGCTCAGTCCCAGGGCAGCAGTGCCAGGCAGGGGTGCGTGGGGGTGGGGAGCTCTGGGGAAATAATTGGGTCAGGAGGGTGTGACCTCCTCAGTGGAGTCACAGCTGATGGCATTAGGGGACACGGGAGAAGCTGAAGAAGGGGGGGGCTCCTTGGAGGAACTAGGTCACAGGAGGCTGCCCCGGAAGCGGGGATCTTGTCCCTGGTCTGCTCGCTCACACGTGTGTGCACGCACACACTCTCTCTACACACACGCTCATCCTTCCCGGCCGCCATGAGCTGAGAACTTCCTGTGCCAYGCTCCTCCGCCCAAAGTAAAGCAGCCACCGACCAGGGCCCGAGTCCTCTGAAACCATGAGCCAAAGTAAGCCTTTCCTCCCTACGTTGATCTCTCAGGTATCTGTCACAGGGATGGGAGGTGAAGACAGCGCCGTCACCCACCATCCGTCCATCCAGCCGTCCACAGACCCACATTCAATCCAGCACCTGCCCGTGTGGGGCCCCAGCGCATCACTTCCCGGCTCCAAGACTCGGTTTCCGCACCTGGACGCGGAGCTCCGTCACCTCCTCTGTGCAGTGGTCCCAAGGATTCAAAGGGAGGACCCGCCTGGAGGGCCGTGCTCRGTACAAGGCTCAGCGGTCCTCCCTTCCGTAGCCACCACCCCCCCCCCAGGGTCCCTGGAAAGCCGGTGCCCGCCAGGCTGGCCCTGCCATGCAGATGGAGTCCCACGGGTACGACCTTTATTGTTTCTCCAGCATTTTCCAGAACGGTGTCATTTGGGAGCCACAGGGGGTGGGGGAGTAAAAAAGAACATAAATAAACCCAACAGAAAATCCAGAGGGGACACGACGGCCGAGTCGGGGTGTCGGGGGCAGAGGGGGAGGCCCGGGCGGCAGCGCCTCTTAGCTTTCAGACACCAGAGTGGAGAACTCTGCAAAGGAAATGACAGAGGCCATGAGTCGGAGGCAGAGGATGCAGAGGGACTCCCCGAGGGACGCAGGGCACAGCTCTGTGCTTCCTCCAGGTTCGTGGATCTGCTGCCGGATGTGGCAGAACACGGTGAGCGGGACCCGTGATCACATGACTGTCAGCTCCCATCGTGGCTCTGACAGTCCCTGAGGGTCCACTGAGTGCCGCTGTTGTCCTCGACACTCCACATCCAGCATCCCACTTGACCCTGACCATCACCTCATCACTGATTATTACGCTCATTCTACAGATGAGGAGACCSAGGCTCWGCAGCCAGCCATCTTTCTGGACTTTTCTTCTGTTTCTCCCCCAGGAGACGAGCGAGGACAGGGTTTTGGCACCGCGTACCACTGAGCAACTCTGGGACGCCACGTCTCTGGCCTGCCTGGGAGGGTGGGGTCCTGGTCAGACCTCAATCCTGTGTAAATGCAGCGTGGTGATGTGGGGGGGCYGGGCTGGGGTCAAGGGCCAGGGCTTCCAGGCAGGCCTGGCCGTTTGCTGGACAATGGGCTCCCAGGGCTCAGCTCTCTCACACCATGGAGAGAGGGGAGGGGCTGTGATGGCTTCAGAAAGGCCACAGAAAGTGCCCGGGACCCCCTTGAGGTCAGCTGCCTGCCAGGACTTGGTGCAGAACACGTAGATAAACCCAGCGATGGGCTCCGTGGGGTTGTCGTGAACCGCGGTGATACAAGGTGCTAGCCTGGGGGGCTGGGAGGAGGGTGCACAAGCCCCTGCGTGATCCCCGAAATTCTTCGGTATTCCTAAAATTATTCCAAAATACAAACAAAACAAAACCAAGGGCAACCAGACCCACATGCCCTGTCATGGCTGTAGCCTGGCACTGACTCCGGCCGGCTGAGGGGACACCACACCCTCCTGTCCCTCGACTGTCCCAGGACAGGAAAGGTGGTGACCTGGGCGTGGGTCTGGGCAGGGATTCAAGCGGGTGCAGAGCGAGGGTCCTCCCTCTCRAGGGTCCTGAGGGCTCAAGGCTCTCCCGCTGAGAGGTTCCCGGGACACAGCCCCACGACCAGCCACCCCCCGCGGGGCCTCTCCTCACCACAGTCCCCTGTGAGCTTCAGGACGGGCTGGAGGAGGCCGGGGCTCTTCYAGGAAGCCCATCTTTACAGTTGGGAGCCGGCATCTGTAGAGTGCCAACCTCTGAACCCCACGACTGCCTCCGGGGAGACTCACCTTGGCCTGCGTTCTACAGCTGGGAAACCGAGGCCCAAGAGTTAAGTCGCCTGACCAAGGTCACCGAGCAGATGGGACTCACACTACAGTCGGTCTGAGCCTCCTTCTCTATGTTGGGCTTTCTGACCTACTTTGACCTAGTGTAGAGTGACACATGTCCCAGATCAAATGTCACCACCCCATGGGTCTGTCACAGTAGCCCTTTTTTATTTACTTCACGGTAATTAGCACACTCTGAAATGATCTTATTTATGTACTTGTTTTTGTTGGTCTCCTCCCTTTAGAAGGCAAACTCTGGGCGGGGGGTGGGGTGGGGTGGAGCCCATCTCTCTCTGGTTCACCCTCCCAGCAGCTAGAACGTCCTGACACACAGCAGGTGCTAATGAGTGGATGG